AGGGCGCGCGAAGGGGGTGCGAGATAGTCGTCCGAGGGCGGGGGAGGCCACCGCTCCAGGAGCAGGGCTTGGGCCAGACCCCCCCGGCTGCCCCGCGCAGACAGAGCGGAGTGAGGGGGACTTGGCTTCCACTTCTTGAGCCAAGTGGTTAGAAGCATGGGCTTCGGAGTCAGGCTGAGATCCTGGTGGTGCCCACTTACCGGCCCTGTGACCCAGGGCAAGTCACTTAACCTCCCTGAGCCTCCTTTCCCTCACCCGTGAAGTGGGGTCAGCAATATCTGCCTTGCTGGGTCCCTGGGAGGTTAAAGGAGATGGAATGGCAGAGACCTACCTGCCTGGCACTCAGAAACTGCTCCTGAAAAGGGGTAGGTAATGTGATGACCTCCAAAGCCCTTCCTGGGGCTGTGAGGAGTCAAGCCTGGCCCAGAAATTGGGAACCTGAGTAGACGGGGTGGTTGGAGATTGAGCCAGCCAATGGCAGGTTGTTAGAGGTGAACAGGAAGGAAGATGTTTACTGTAAAAGTTCCACTGAAGTTATCAGAGTGTGGCATAGGCCTGGCTCCCTCCTAACCCCCTTCTGAGGACACATTCCTGAGTTGAGTCATCGGCCACTCCGCCACTCCGGCTGCAGATTCTGGCCTCTGCTCTTATTTGCCATCTCCAAGGAAAAGGTGTCAGAACAGGTGGTACCAGCTGCTGTCCTCCCTACCGCCCTTGGGAGGATGGGCCCACCAGGAATCAGGCTCCGTGCTTTAAGGTTCTGCTCTAGAGAAGCTGGCAGAGGTGTGATGGAAGGGCCTGGCTAGCAGTTGCCATGCTGGGATGGCCTCGTCTCCAGGGAACTGGAGGCAGGAAGAGGAAACTGGGCAGGAAGGTAGTGCTGAGCTGTAAGGCTGTGCCAGGAAACTGAGGGAGGCTCTGAGAATGGGACAGAGCCCAGAGCCCACTTCCCAGTGTGCAGGGCAAGGGATCAGGCAAGGGTAGGGGTAGGCTTCCAGCTGGCCCTCAGCATTTGGGGAGAAGAAAGAACTCCTGAAATAAAGGCTGAGGGCAGGATAATTTATTGGGGGAAACTAGGAAACTCTGGGACTCTCACAGGTTCATTTGAGGCAAATAGATCAGAGCTTGGGAAGGGTACATTGATCTCTCCCCTACCCATCTCCTTTCCCCATTCCTCTGTTCTTTCAGTCCTGCCCCTTTCTCTGCCCCCAGCTCTTTCCCTTCCTTCTTTCCATCTCCCTTCCTTATCTGGTCCTTCTTCCTTTCTCTTCTCTCTCTGATTCATTCAATCAAATATTTCTTGTGTGTTTCCTTTGTACTGGACATGGTGATGGATATCATGGGTAGAGTAGGAATAGTGATGGGGAAGATGGAAATTGAATGGGTAATGACTTGAATTCATTCATCTTTTAGATGGTCCTCTTTCATGTACTGTGCAAAGAATTTGGGTTTTGGTCTTCTTTATATGCACACAGTTGAGTTGGCAGCATCAAAAGGCCTGATGAGTCTTTAGCCAGCCAGCCTGCATTCAGTTTTGCACAAGTATTAAGAAGGTGGTCCTTGGCCTGACCAGCGTGGCTCAATGGTTGAATGTCAACCTATGAACCTGGAGGTCACAGTTTGATTCCCAGTCAGGGAACATGCCCCGGGGCAGGCTCAATCTCCAGTGGGGGGCGTGTAGGAGGCAGCCGATCAATGATTCTGTCTCATCATTGATGTTTTTATTTCTCTCTCTCTCCCTTTCTCTCTCTGAAATCAATAAAAATTATAGAAAAATTTTAAAAAAAGAATGTGATCCTTGGAGTCTATGTTGGTTCAACTCCCAGGTCTACTCACTGGTTCTGTGACCTTGAACTGGTGATTTAACCCCTCTGAGCCTCAGTTTCTTATAAAACTGGGATAATAGTACTGTCCTCAATGGATTGTTGTGAGGATTAAATGAGATAAAATGAACAGACAGCTAGCAGCACAGTGTTTAGCTCAGTTCATTGAATGGTGGCTGTTATTGTCAAGACGTAAAACCTCAACAGCCTGTAGTGCTTGATGGACATAAACTAGATGCAGGCTCTCAAAGGCCCATGTATGTAAAGTTCTGTATTTAGGTTAGAAACAAGGGCACAAGTTTACCATAAGGAAGAGCTTGCTTGGCTGTATATTTTGTAAAAATATATAAAAGGTTTTATTGAGCACAAGTATTGTGTAGTTCTTGGGATCTGACTGCTAAAAAGAAAAAGCTAGGGAAAGTTGGGCTAGATCAATAATAATATCTCTTATTTATTGAGCATCTAGGATGTATCAGGTATTGTGCTAAGCACTTTATTCATAATATGTCGCATGTCTTAGCTAACATTATGGTAGATATTATTACCGTCACCATTTTATAGATGAAGAAGTGGTAGGTCAGAAGGGCCATGTCCTCAGTCTTCAGTACTCAGCTGATGACTGGCAGAGGCAGGATTTAAAGAAACCCAAGGCTGCAATGCAGAGAGCCCTAATCCTAGTTTCTGAGCTCAGGTGAGTGCTGCTCTAGGAAGGAGTTGATACACCTGGTTACTTCCCAGGTCCATCTTACCACAACAATGACAGCTAGAATAGGGTTTCTTAGGCACTAAGAGACCAAGAGGGAGGAGAGACAGGAGAGTTAGGACAGGAAGGTTTTGAGAGCTTTTTTTTTCCAGAGGAACTAAGGGCATTTGGCCTTGGAAAAACCTAAGGGGATATTTGAATGTCAAAGGAGGGATATTCTGTACAGAGGGCAACTGTCTGTCAAGAACATTCCCTTACCTGGCCAGGCGTGGCTCAGTGGTTGAGCATCAACCTATGACCCAGGAGATCATGGTTCTATACTGGGGTCAGGGCACATCCCAGGGTTGCAGGCTCGATCCCCAGTGGGGGGGGGGGTGCAGGAGGCAGCTGATCAATGACTCTCTCATCATTGATGTTTCTCTTTTTCTTTCTCCCTTCCTCTCTCTGAAATCAATAAAGATATTTAAAAAAAATTTTTTTTAAAAAGAACATTCCCTCTATAACTACTACCCTCTGTCTGTGACCTATACTGCTGCTCCCTCTCCCTCTGGCTCACAACCTCAAGCTCTTCAGGCCCCTGGCAGGGCTTGGAAGTGCCTCTCTCCTCCACCCATCCTCTCTACATTCTCTTTCTCCTGCCAGCCTGGTGGAGACCTCACACCCTTGCTGATGGCACTTCTCACCCGGTCTGGCTGGCCTCTCTGCTCTAAGTTTTTTCACTCCAGCCATGCCAGCCTACCACCACCAAATTATCCTGAAGCACATCTACAGTGTTGCCCTTGGGTCAGAAACACATACTAGCTCTTGTTCTATCCCTCCCTCCAAGTGAGCTTCCTTTTCTTATTTTATTTTTTTACTGATGAGAGAGATTTGCTATTCCACTTATTTATTGGTTGATTCTTGTATGTGCCCTGACTGGAGATTGAACCTGCAACCTTGTCATATCGGGACAATGCTCTAACAAACTGAGCTACCCAGCCAGGGCCTGAGCTGCCTTTTCTTGACTTTTCTCTGGCCCACCCTACCCCTCCATCTTTACCCTCTCCCTGGTCCTCCAGAATGCCCCAGCTCTACCCCATCCTTCAAGGGCTCACCCCACCTATAAAGTCTATAAAGATTCTCAGGAATCACCCCTCTGTGGGCAGCTCCAATACCCACTATTTGTACCTCCCAGTGTAACTCTTTACTCTTTTCTAGTTGTATTGTATATATCTCTTTCCTCAGCCTTTAGGGCTCTTAAGAACAGGCACAGTTCATTCAGAAAATATTTTCCCCATGTCTTCGGTGTGCCAGGCACTAGGCTGAATTCAATGTGGCAGCAGGCAGGTTGGCCTTGACTTCTGGTTGCTACCTCCTTCTACATCCTGTAGTTCTTTAGTTGAGTGGGTCCAAGGAGGGCCAGAGACTTGAGCCTGAGGCCTCTGTTCCTTGGAGCAAATGTGTTCTTTTAAGCCTGGACCCATCTGGGGTCCGGACAGGGAAAGGAAGCTGCAGATTGCAGTGGGAGGCACAGCCAGCTCTCCTAGAGAATGTGACCTAATGTCACCCCATGTAGAATAACAACAGCTGTAGTCTTCAGAGTAGAAAAAATAATATCCAACATCCCCCCAATCTCTAGCAGTGATTCTCATTTTCAAATCTTTGTCCATTCCCAAGTTTTTGCCTTGGAAAATTTGAATGTGGGGATGCCTTGGACTGTTTGAATGTGAGAGGCTCCAAATAATTGAACCCTGTTGAATATTCTGGTTGTCATAAGAGTGGTGATGATGGTTGACTCAGGAAGAGGTGGAGACGAGTATAACTTCCCTGCTCTCTTTGCTGTTCCTCCTTGCTCCTCAGTTACTGCTTCCCCTGGCCTGTGAGCATACCCGTCTACCATGGCTTGCCTGTCCCCTCTTGAAGCAAGTATTTATTTTCTAGCTCATGAGAAAATATTGACCTACTTGGGTTTCAGATGCTACCCCTCGAAACTCCTGCTGGGCTAGATAAACACACTGAGGAAACAGCTCTTGAAAATAAGAGACGCTTTTGGACAGGCTATAATGCAACTGACACACTGAGTCCTTGCAATGGTCAGCACTGTGCTGGCCTCCTGAGGCCCTGATTCCAGGCAGACAAAGGAATGGCACTGGGCCCTGCCCTCCCTCTGGAAGCTTGTGGCCCAGTTGGGGAGGTAGGACTCATGAAATGGGAATGCTTGGAGGTTGTGTGCAAGGCACATGCAAGGATCCTGAATGAAGATTCTCGCCTGAGTAGGAGGTCGCCCTCTGTGGCCACCAGATCCCTTCCCTTTCTGTGGGTTTAAGTGGAATTCAGTCAAGTGCCAAAGTGTCTGCTGCAGACAATGGGCAATATGGTACGGCAGGAAAGGGAGCTTGGCCAATGCTCTGTGGGGAGGAGACGAGAAGAGGGATGGGCCGCGGGGGACTAGACTGGGAGGAGGGAATTGTTGTGGTTTGTTAATCCTCTCATATTCATCTCCCTGACCTGAACCTGTTCCTGCACCTGCAGCTTTCTCCAGGACTTCCTGCCCTGGGTCTCTCTCAGTTGCATGTGTCCAAAGCCCAATTCCTTTCTTGTTTGTAACCCATGCTTTTTTCCTCTCCCATCCTTTCAACCTCCCCTAGCTTGGACTCTGCACTTCTCTTCCCAGTCCCCTGAAATGAGCTGGGTACTTCTGTTGGGTAAGGCTGCTGCAGGCTAAGAGATCCAAAGCTTAATCTCATCTGTGTGAGCTGGACACCATTGAAGATCTGCTAGCTGGAAGGCTGGAGGTCAGAGGCCAGAAAGGCTGAGATTCCAGGCAGAAAGGGAATCAACTTTGAGCACTGATGTGGGAGCAGGTCAGGCCAGGAGGCAGAACTGGCCTGACCAGTGAGAGGCCCTATGAGGGAGATCTGATCTCAGTTTGTGTCTTTGTGTGTGTGTGTGGTTTAGGCAGAGGCTATGATATGTGATGGTCCAAAATTACATTTCTAGCTCTGTGGGGTGGATCTTTCTGTCTGGCCCTCTAGCCAAGTAGCTTGGTTTCCTCTTCTTTGCTGGGGGAAGCCATAGGGCCAGTGTGCCATCCTAGAGCCATAGGTTAGAGGCCATCCTAGAGCAGATGAGAAAAATGTCTGTTTTGTGGGAGGGTGGGGTCCTGGGAAGGTCCCATCCTGGGGCACCTTAGAGGAAGCTGAGGTGCTGGAAGCCAAGGCTGACCTAGGACCTACCTTGATGGGCAAGAGGAGGGGCCTGTGAGACCAAGGTGAGCCACACACACCCAGGAGGCTGGCCCTTTACTCCACACATATTATATCCTTACATGAAAGATGCTGTTTCCCCTACCATACATTACACACACGCACACACACACACACACACACACACACACACACACACACACACAGTGGGAGCATATAGATCTCAGGACCAGATGAGGGCTAGGTGGGGGCTCCATTCAGCCCTGACTTTGGGCTTTGTGCTCAGGCAGGGAAAGAGTTGGAGCGGTGCCAGCGGCAGGCGGACGAGGTGACGGAAATCATGCTCAACAACTTTGACAAGGTCCTGGAGCGTGATGGGAAACTGTCGGAGCTGGAGCAGCGTTCAGACCAACTCCTGGACATGGTGTGAGGCCTGGGGAAGCAGGGAGGAGGGAGGGAGAGGCTAGGAGGAGCCCTCAGAGGGAGCTCGTAGGCTGTTCAGGGTCTCCAGGCCCTTGGTGGGACCTGAGGGCCAGTGTAGGGCCTGTGGGTTTCTTGAGGGTCCCCTAGCCTAGATATGCAATGGGTAGGCCTTAGTTTGAAGCTGTGGAGCTTCCTAAAGGTTGAGGACTGGCATTGTTAACTGGGGGTGAGCCCAAAGGGCTGCATGTCAAGGGCTACACCAGTGTTTGAGATCAGGAGTCAGGCTGGGAGGGTCCCAGGGCAGGCTATGTGGGGAAAAGGAACATACAGATGGAAAGGATGCAGGAGGAGACTACACCTTGCTGGGGCGGGGTTGGGAGAAGCTGGCTCTGGGGCTCTAGGGAACCACTAACTCCCATTCTGTGTCTGGGGGCATCTACAGAGCTCAGCTTTCAGCAAGACAACCAAGACCCTGGCCCAGAAGAAGCGCTGGGAAAACATCCGTTGGCGTATCTACTTGGGGCTGGCAGTGGGCGGTGGCCTGCTCATCATCCTGATTGTGTTGCTGGTCATTTTTGTCCCACAAAGAAGCCAGGCCAGCAGTGTCAGCAGTGTCCCACAGGCCCTGGACACAGGTGCTGCCTCAGGGCCAGGGGACTGACCCAATTGGGCCTGGAGGAGAGGCCGAATGGCCGCACTGGCTGGTTCTGGTCTCCAAAGAACCTTGGTATTTGCCCCCATCTGAGCCACCCCAGTGAGCGCCTAAGGGCAGCCCCAAAGTGTGCAGCTTTGCATCTCCTATCACGCCACAGATTGGCCCTTGAGGGCAGCCTGCTGCACTGGCCATGCCAGGCCAGCCCCACTTGGAGCTCAGTAAACGCTGCTGCTTGGTTAAAAGCTGCTGTTTGGTTAACAGCTGGTGTGTCTGTGTATGTGTGTGTCTTTGAAGGTCTCCAGGTTGGTTCATTTTGCCCTGCTTCCACCCCTTGAGCTGCTTAGAAAGGCTACCACCCAAAGGACTCCATCCTTGGGAAGGGGTCCCTTCCTCTCACTTCCCTACCTGATCCAACCCTACACAGACATATCTTTCTGGAGGGCAGGTATAAAGGCACAACAGCCAGATACAGAAGGTCACCAGGGTGGAAAGTCCCAGGTACCTAGCAACAGGCAAAACTGGACCTCGCCCCCACGATGCCCTTTCCTCCCCTGGCATATTGATGGCTGTATGCAGTTTAAACCCTGCTGACCTTTCCTCCCTAGAAGTAACATATAGGCCTCAGCTGTATTTCAGCTCCAGGCTCAGAAAAGCAGCAAAACCAGGCCAGGACCAGCTTGGATGACTAATGACCAAATCAGTGGAGACCACAACCCAGAAAGGATACACCTGGAAAAGCTGAGGAATATTCCGTTGAGATCCTTCCCTAAGACCTCCCCGAAACCCCCAGCCTTTAAAACACTCAAGCCATAGGACCCCAGGGTGAGCTCTCCATCCCAGGAACATGCCCACGCCTTTCCCTTCCCCCTTTTCTTCCCCCACAGTCGTGCATCTCCTAAACTCTAAGGGACCCCACAAGAACTGCAACCAGGGAAGCAATGTCCCAGGGCAGGGGCAGCTTGTCCCAGGCTAAACCCCTGAACCTGTCCTCAAGGCTCCCTTTTCTCTGACTCTCCAGTGAGCTGACAGCACCCCACCTTGGCTCACTTCTTTCCTATAACCTTTCTAGAGAGCCAAAGCAGCTCCGCCTAGGCTCTGTCCTGTGGTTTCTTCCATCCTAAGCCTCTCCTTGTTTCACTGCCCCCAGCTTTAAAAAAACATACTCTCAAAATCACCTGGACTTGTGAAATCTTTCCTACAGGAAGTTAGGAACACACACACTACAGGCCACCGCGGCAGACCTGCTCCAGCCAGGTCCCTGTCTGGTAGCACTCCCAAATGGGCTCATTACCATCTTCCTTTCCCTGGGAAACATAGAGGAGAGCAGTCAGCCTTCACTTAGAGATCATGTGAGTTTGGGCAAGCCACTTACTCAACTTGTTTTATGTGTGTAAAAAGGGATAATGATACTTATCGCCCATATCCATCAATGTAAAGGTTCTAGATGCCGAATAAATGGTAGCTATCACCCAAATCACTTAGTGCTGTGTTTCTAAACCCTGCCTCACGTCAGAATCGCACGTAGAACTTATAAAAACACCACACCCAGTTAAATCAGAATCTTTCAGGGTTAAGTATCGGGGATCCCCCCCC